GCTGAGGGAGTCGGAGAAGACTGCAGATGAGGCCCTGAGCTCACGTCTGTGCTCTTGATGTGTGACCGTAGGACTCGTCTCACTATACGGACATGGAAATTTCAGATTGAAAATGTCCACATGTTGTAGTAGGATAGTTGTGGCCATGTCTGAGGGCGTGCAAGTTCAGTGTGTGTTCTCTGATGACGGGGTCATGGAATCAGGGTCCATTTAGAATGAGAATCCGGTTTGGCTTTCCCCAGAGGACAGTGTCCATTGGTCCAGTGGTCTGTGCTTTTACATACTTCTTTTTCTTTTACATACTTTTACAAACTCCCCTGGTTTGGAAAGAAGGGCAGGGCAGTAGGAGAAGAAACCAGAGGGAAGCAGTGCTGGTCTTTGGTCTACAGAAATTCTGCGTTACGGCCTGGTACCAAGACAATTGGCTCATGTTCTCAGGGAATGTTGTCCTGCTCTGGGAGCAATGAGATCTCTTGTCTTATCCTTTCTTTTCTCCTGCTCTAACTCTCTCTCCATCTTCTTTCCTGTGATTTGTCATTCTACTCAGCCTCTTGTGCATTCATCCATCAAACATTCTTTTTTTTTTTTTAAAGATTGGCACCTGGGCTAACAACTGTTGCCAATTTTTTTTTTCTGCTTTATCTCCCCAACCCCCCCCCCCGTACATAGTTGTATATCTTAGTTGCATCTCATCAAACATTCTTTGAGCTTCTAGTCTAAGAGCTCACGTGCTGCTGGAGGTAAGAAGATGAAGAAGATTCCTTGTGAATAGCTTTGACGCAGGATGTAGGGAGTGGAGTCCCTGTGAAATGCCTGAAAGGTGGGCTCCTTCCTGTATTTCTTCTGTTTCTGTTTCTATATATGTCCCTACACGCTGTTAGGAGCCGAGTAGGCCCCACTCCTTTGCTTTTACAAGCTGCTTCTTCACACTTCTAACTCTTCTTCGTATGAAGCAGCTTGCTTGTATCTAAAAGCATTTTTAAATTTCAGTATAAAAAATAATTCTCTAATTGGGTTGAGTTAGAGGCATAAAAGGGAAATCAGGGCAGAGTAGGGAAAACTGGTGGTAAACACATTCTGAAGCAGTGACACAGAAGTAGAATTTGTTGGGCCATAGAGGGAAGAATAAGTTCCCTTTTTCCCTCTGTTCTCTACTGTAGAGGCTTCTAATCCTGGCTAATTCTGTAGGTGGCCCACTGTCTCCATGGTATCTTTTGAGAGGATTTGAAGAATACGAGAAAGGCCGAGTCCAAAAATCTCTCTCCCTTTGATTCCTGAAATCTCAAGATTGGCAATTTAATTCTGTCTTAATTACCGCCTTCTTTGTTCCTCTTGTTTTTGAAAATGATCCTCCTCTGGGCAGCACATTCTAAGACAAATCCCCAACTCTTGAGGACACTCCCTTAAAATCACCTTCATCCAGAGCTGAGAAAGATGGGCGAATCCGAGTTCTGTTCTTGTAGATATGACCTAACTCCATCAGGTGACCACGTATAACTGGGAAAGTACAGACTGTTGGATTCATTGTGCTCTGGCTTCATAAGTCTCCATTACCTGCATCTCTATCTCAGTCCTAAGGCCACACTCAACGTCCCCCGCCACAGGCACCTTATGAGTCCCCACTCTGATCAACCCCACCCTCTCCTCTCGTATACCCGGGCAGTGAACTCCAGGCTGCTGCCCTCAGGAGTCTCAGGGTTTCTGTCTGCACTCAGGCCGACCAGCTGGGACAGGCTTCTCTCTCTCATGGAACCTTATTCAAGGCTGCAGGGCTGACGTCAACACATTCCAGTAAGGTCATCATCTGCTACCATGTTCCCCTGTGTTCCTGTCTAAGTCCCAAGAAGCAACAAATGGTGGTGTAACCTATGGCATTGCTGCCACCTAGCAAGGCCTGCCAGACTCTGAGCCAGAGCTGGAGAGGGTGAGAGCTGCCCTCCCAGCTTGACTTGGGCAGATCCGTGATTTATGACCTGCCCTTTGTGCTATCACTGGCTCCCCTTGGTTCAGCCTCGCACCCCTGTGGCCATAGGGAGAGGTCATAACTGCCCCTTGCCTTACAACCACATGGACAGAGGTGGGAGGGAAGGTCTCCAGAAGAAAGGGGTGCCAGGCTGCAATCCCACCAGAGCTCAGGTCTCCTGACCACTGTAGAGACTCAGCAAGAGACAGGATGGGCTCCAAGTGGGGTGGTAACAGGGGATGTGATGAGAAGTGGTCAAATCCTGGATGTATTTTTAAAGTAGAGCCGACGGGATTTCCCAATCAATGGGATGTGCAATGGGAAAGAAAAGAGGGGTTAAATGTGACCCCGAGGTCCCAAACCGCAGTTCTCATCTCATTTTAAATGTCACTCATCAGAATCTCTGATTTTCTCTGATTGTTCTCAGACTGACGCCACTTTCATCTCAGGACAGTCTTGTTTCTAAGGATCAGTTGCTCACTCCAGACTCTTTGAAAGTTACGTTACTGTCTTTAGCTTTCTCTCTGCTGGCCTTGTGCGTAGTGTTTCAGAACTCACATCGTCACCCCTGTTAGAGATTCTCTGGGTGGGGTTGAGCCTGAAGATGACGTAACAGAGTGGCCGTGAATACAGCTTACCATCTCTCTGAAATGAACAAAGGACAGCGCCTTCTTTGCCAGCTCTCCAGCTTAAAGCTTTTGTGACAAATGTGTTGGGACAGCCTGTAGACGGTTTCACAATGGAGGTCTCAGTCTGTCACTGTCTCAGTGAGTGGAAGTCACTTTACTGAGGTTTCGTTTCCCTGTCTCTGAAAACACAGGCTCACATTGAGCCAGCCCTAATGGCCTAGTGGTTAAAGTTCGGCGCTCACTGCTTTGGTGGCCAGGATTCACTTCCCAGTGGCAGAATGACACCACTCATCAGTCAGTAGCCATGCTGTGGCAGCAGCTCACATAGAAGAATAAAAGGACCTACAACTAGAATATACAACTATGCTCTGGGGCTTTGGGGAGGGAAAAATGAGGAAGATTGGCAACGGATGTTAGCTCAGGGTGAATCTTCCTCAACAACAAAAAAAAAGTAAAAACAGGGTCATGCCCTTCAGTTTGAGATGAGAATCAACCAATGGAGACAGTGGATATATTTCAGCATTTATTATCTTAAGCTCTTTTTATATCTTAAAAATATAAAATTTAATTTTATATTTATAACAAATTTAAGCCCAATATTAATCTCTTTTTACGTAGTTATCTCATTTGATCCATATAAGGTAGGTGCTATTATTACTTGCATTTTACAGAAGAAAAAACTGAGGCTCAGATAGGTTCATTGACTTGTCCAGGATCACACAGCTGGTACATGGTAAGGCTGGTGTTCAGACCCAAGTCTGTGGACGCCAGACTCTGTGCTCTTCATTGCCTCACCCACGTTTCTTCCAGTGTGAGCAGTGGGTCACCTGGGGGTGCTTGTTATGTGTAGATTCCCAGATCCCACTCTCCAGACCCCGGGACTCAGACTTTGAGGCTGGGACCCGGAGATCCGTCCCTTATCAGGAGCTCTGGGTGATTACTGAGCAACCTCAAGTGTGACGACCACTGTGTCTCATTACTTTGCCTCTAATGTTTGTTTAGCATCCTGCTTGTGTGTGTGTGGAGGACTGACAAATCCTCCAAGCCAGGTGGTGTGCAGAGTCCAAATTCTAGGATTTCATAAATACAAACAAGCAGATGATAGTTACAATACAGCATCTCTCTGTACTTTCCAGTTAATACATCAACGTAATAAAATGCGTAATGGTCAGAAATTGTTTGTAGAGAATAGTGTCCTGTCTAGTTCATTTAGACATACAGGAATTTTTTTAAAAACAGGATGCTAAGTAGTTAATAGTATCATTGGGAGGGCTGAAAAACCAGTCTTTAGAGTGAGCATCCAGAAATGACTCCCAAAATCACACCACAGAACTGGGCCTCATGAGCTATTGCTCATGTCGTGGTCGGGAAGCTGCCTGCAAAGCAGCTTGAGGAGAGCAGGGATGCAGAGGGAGCCCGGGCTCAGGAGTGAGCAGAAGGGAAGCCCATGAGGGTGATCAGCAAGGAGGTTGTTCTCGGACCCAGAAACAGAAGCCAGGGAAGAAGAGGGTTCCAGAAGACGGGAGGGGCCAACGTTGTCAAATACAATGACAGGCCAATGGGAAAAAAAAGACAAGACTAATAAGTACTGTTGAACTTGATGACTAAGTGACTTTCTCTGGGTCAGTTGGTGACTTTTAACAGCACAGTTTCAGGGGAATGTTAGAAAGAAGCCAGACGGGTCGAATAAGGAATAAATGGGAAATGAGCAGATGAACCAGCCCGTGCCCCATGAACAACCCTTTGAAGAAGTTAAGTTGAAATGGAGAGGAAAGAAGATTGTAGCTGGAGAAGATCTGGGGGTGCAGGGAGCTTTTAATTTCTTGTTTTGTCTGTTTGTTAGGTCAAGAGAAACTTGCACATAGCAGTAGCGGAGAAATTGATTGACGGGTCAGTGTTCTGAAGGTCAGAGAGGGAGAGGGGTCAAGGACTAGATGGAGGGGTTGGCCTGGAGTGCAAGAGCGACAGCTCCTCTAGGGCTGGAGGGAGGGAGGTGACGATGGGTACAGATACAGGTCCATCCCCAAGATCGGGTGAGTGATGACCATAATTATGGTCCTGATTTTCTTCTGGAAGTTGACCAGGTCCCCTGCTGAGAAGGAAGGGAGGGGCCCTTGGGTGTGGAGCTTGGAGGGGGGACAAGGTTTGAGACAGCGGCGGCTAAGGACAAGTGAAGGATTGTCAGTCAGGGGTGTTGTCAGCCCAGGTAAAAGTGGAAGTTGTGAATTCACAGTGGGGCCAAACTGTCAAAATGGTATAGGATTTAGTATTCTGCAGCCCTGGACCAGGAGTGGAGAGGTGGGTCCCGGGACTGCCCCAAGGGTGACACTGATTTCCGGTCACGGTGATGTTGGACTCCGTGCCTCAGGTCTCCTAACTAAGCTTGATGTTTCCTGTTTGGGTGTCAGGTGCCTCAGGCAGGAACCCTGGAGCTGTCCCACTTACAGGAAGGAGCGTACACCTTTCAGCTCACTGTGACGGACACCGCTGGGCAGAGAAGCTCCGACAACGTCTCGGTGACAGTGCTTCCCAGGGCCTTCTCCACGGGAGGTGAGAAGAAAGTCCTTCCCCACATTCCCAGCGGTCAGCAGAAACTGGGCTATCTACGGAAGGATAGTAATGGATTCACATTTTGTATTCTGACTGCACGTTTCATTGGCTCTTCCATTTTATTTTTGGCTGTTGTTGAATGAGAGTCTTTACTAAAAATATAACCACAAAAAGGCTCCATTATGTTTTGGGCTATGTGACACTGCTGGATTGGGGGAGTGCTCCAGGGGATGAGAATAGACTGTGTGAGCTCTGGGACCCTATAGACGCTCCTTCTTTCCTTGACTTGCTTTCATAAAGACAATCATCTGGCTTTCCCAGGAGAGGATCTTGTTTAAAGGTGGGTGGTCTGTTGGATATGTGTGTTCAAAGAGTGCAGCTGAGGAGTACCTTTAAGACAAATTAAAATATATGAAATATATGTGTCAATTTAAAAGGAGTATTTAAAAATTTTCACGGACACTTTACACAGATGCATGGATACATTAATAATATAGCTTTACGTTTATATGATGGTTCTCACATTCTGTTGCACAATGTAAACTCTTTTATCTCATTTATCTGTTTCTTACTTTCCTAAACATCTACCTTTCTAAGATTACCTCATCAAGTTAAAAAAAACTGCTAAAAAAGTTTTTAGAAAAGCTTAAAAAAGGGTCTGTCCCCGTGGCCGAGTGGTTAAGTTCACGCGCTCTGCTGCAGGCGGCCCAGTGTTTCGTTGGTTCGAATCCTGGGCGTGGACATGGCACTGTTCATCAAACCACGCTGAGGCAGCGTCCCACATGCCACAACTAGAAGGACCCACAACAAAGAATATACAGCTATGTACTGGGGGGCTTTGGGGAGAAAAAGGAAAAAAATAAAATCTTTAAAAAAAAAAAAAAAGAAAAGCTTAAAAAAAACTTGGCAACACTAAAGACATAGGGGCATCACAGAGGGAACGCCCACCAATCCCTTCTGGAGAAGTGCTGAGATGCTGTATATTCAGGGTGCTGTCACTTGGTCAGTGGATGTTTTCGCAGTGTCTGCAGTGCCCAGCAACTGTGTGAGCACTGGGCATGGGATGATCCTCTCCGTAGAGCTGGTCCCCGTCCCTGCGTAGAGAACCTTCACTGCCACTGGCCATGGCTCTGAGAAACTCGCAGCGTGTCTGTGACGTCCTTGCTTCCTAAGTACTGGGATGAACTTAAGTCAGCACTTGGAAGAATAAGGATAAAAAGATTGGAATATGGCTGTGATTCACTGGACCATCGCTGATCTTGTCTTCCATCAAAGACATAGGTCAGTGTGCATATTGGAAATGAAGGAGGAGATTCTAGAATCCTAAGGACTTGGCAGCCTCAATAATTTGCCTTCCACCAGGATACAGAGCATAAGCAGCTCTCAGAATTTGGTTAACTGCCTCCCTGTCCAGCCAAGGTTTCAGCTTACTGTGAGGAAGGAGGGGTGACTGCATGTGGACAGGCCGGACACCAAACTCCTGCCCACGGCAGCACCGTGAGGCAGTGATGGTGAGTAAGCAGAGCCGTCCATCCCAGCCCAGACTCGAGCTGGCCCTGTTGATTCATTGCAGCTGCACAGGAGGGCCAGACAGTTACTCAAATCATTTTTGAGGACCTTGAGGTCTGTGGGACGTGCACCGGGGCCATCGACAACACGGCATTGGCTCCAGCCAGTCACTCCCCAGGGAGGACCACTGGGCCCACAGCACTGTCCTCCTGGGACCCGGTGCTCGCCTGGGCAGGGACCAAGTTGAGTGCTGATCTGGGAGGAAAGTGCTCATGGGGAGAAGACACAGACACCCCATCATACCCGACAGAAATTAGGGAAGATTGCTTTTCTACAACTGAGGTCCCTGGGAGGGAGAAAGGGCCTGCTCTGGACTAAGCAGACGGCTGACCCCTCACCAGCCACTAGCCTGCCCTCGTTTATTTCTCCAGGCCAGTTTTCCAGGCTCCAAGGGAAACTGCCAGTTGTCCATTTGTGGCCTTTCTCCAAAATGATGATGTATTTGAAGTGGCAGAGAGGGATGTGAATCCCTTTTGATTACTGGAGGGACACTTGGGTATGGGTCTCCTGTATGTAACCTTATATAGAAAACAACGAAGAGTGGCTGTCATCCTAACTGCGATTGGAATCACTCCCTGGTTAAACTGGAATAACAACTGTGAATTAAAGTTAATAAAATACCACACAGAGACAGTGAGAACCAGGGCTGTTTCTCTGCCCTCTGTTGTATATATTGATCTTGCAGTTAATGAGCCAGCTGTAATGGTGACCAAGGGTGGCGCCTTCTGGGGAAACAGAGAAGCAGGTACCCCTGCTTATGTGATAATATCTGGGTTAAGTTTTGGCTGTAGAGGCTGCATGTTTTCAAGCTTTATGAAGAATAGTCTATTCCAATAGCAAGACAACAAGCACTTCCCATATGATCTAGAGCAGTGGGCTCCAAATAGGACCCCTACAGATGGGCAAGACATTTTTAGGATGGAAAAGAAGACACTAGAACTTATATATTATTAATTTTAAATTTTCTCCTGTAAATTGTCAGTGTATTTTCTAACATGTACAATATCTTAGTACAGTAGTACATGTACCTTATTTAAAGATTGGAGATGCATGTTCTCCAGTATATTATTGGTTGAGATGCATGGTCAAAAACGTTTGGAGACCACTAATCCAGAGGTAGATGGATAAATTACAAATCTGGATCTGTCTCCAGAACTACCAAGGAATCAGTAAAACCTTGAGATATTTAGGATTTTCACATCCTGAATTTGAGAAATGTGGGCAGTAGCTGTGTCCCGCTTGGACACAGAGGTCCCCTCCACTTCTCCTCCTCACTCCTTCCCTGTGACTGGAGCAAGCTCTCTTTTAGGCCCAAGATCTCAGTCATAACTGAGGCCCTTTGCTTCCTCTTCTTTCTCAGGAATCTACCACCATGTCTTTACCCTCTTCTTCTTTCTGAATCAAGATAGCTTCAAATTGCCCTGCACCCAGATGGGCTCCTATCCCAGCCTTTAATTTAGCAGCTTTCCAGTGAGATATGTATTCAGTGTTCGGCTTGGGCGTGTACACTACGCTCAGCCATTTGTCTCAGTGGAATATCATCGTTTACCACTCTCTCATGTCCTGAGAGAATTGTCCAGTCCATTCTGTCCCAGGAGAATTATGGAACTCTTCATGACCTGCTTCTAGCCTAATATCTTTAATTTGCATTCCCGGTGACAGAAAGTCACCCAGATCTTGTAAATTTGGCAGAATCTGGAGTATGATGCAGGGGGTGAGGAGGAATGCCATCTAAGAAGATCCATGTGGCTCCTATGAGTTGCACTGTGGATTGAAACCTCCTAAGAGCTCCAAAAAGGAGAAAATTTCATTATTTGAAGAAATATTCATACCAGATAGTAACTAAGGATTATGTTTATTATTTACAGCACCAAAATGTATAGTAGACAACAAACAGGGTTTAATAGAGGAAAGTGAATCTCAGTAAAAATTGTTACTTAGGAAACAAGAATGCAGGACACAGCGTGCAGAAGGTCTGGATGGAGGAGCCCAGGGCTGCTGCTTCTCTGTTCCCACCTCTTAGGCTGTGTCGGCTTGAGAACCGCCCTAAGACGAAGAGCCCAGGGTGATTCCTGAGAACTAAGTCAGGAGGGCCAAGAGGAGACTTACTAACCTTTCCAGAACCCACTGCTCCATCCAGCTCCACCTGTTAGGTGTTTCCTCGTTGTCTGCCTCTCATGCACACTCAAAGGCATTTCATCTCACATTAGACTCTGCTAATCTTGGCCCAGTGGAAGTCTTACCTTCCCTGCCCTCCTGTGACTTGAGACTTGTTTATAAACAGGGTACTTGAGCGTTTGCTCACGCTACCACTTCTTTTGGGATGATGGCTGTTTCACTGATACCACGCTGGCTTTCGAGGGAGTGGAGCAGTGTCCTGATGGGTCTGACGAAGCTTTCTGATCAACATTGTGTGTCAGCTGCATCGCATTTTCAGGCCAGGGGTTGGAAGGGATGTTTGTATCCTCAAAAGACTATTTGAACTCACTGTTGTTCTTTTTCTGCCCAGTTTCAGGTATAACTTTATCTGAACAAGCTGTGCCTTACATTAAATGAGCATTTACTATGAGTCTCTAGTCCAAGTGACAAATGTCAAATTTTTTTATATTTCTTACCCTTTTCAAAAATTGCTTTCAGTTTTCCAAAAGATTCTTCCCCATCCTAAAAATGCTGTATAGCATATACTTTTTTTAAAAAACTAAGTTAACATAGCATTTTCATAAATTTTTTAGAAAATGTATGACATACTAGGGTGTGGCTCAGTCAGAGCTGTAAACCAGTCTTATAATGTCATATACATACAAGTCACCAAAAGGAAGAAGAGAAGCTACAGAAAGTTCCATGATTCTGGCTTGAGGAAGAATGAAGAATCTCAAACTTTAGGTTTAAGTTTTGTCTTTGTCAATTTATGTGTGACGTTTAGAAAATTAATTATTGGGTGAAGAGAGAACAGATGACCCATTTGAAAATGAGAGAGAAGTTTTTTATGGGGCTCTGACGTGTCTTAGACAGATAGGTTATTTTTCCCAAATATCCATGACTTTAAATCTACTGCAAATGTAGCGGTTTTAGTTAAATTCCAGAAAAGCAACCCAACAACTAACAGCTGCTCTTCCACGCTTCAGTGAGCCTTGACCAGAAGATGGGGACCCGCACAGCAACTGCCCAGCCTAGAACCACAGGACCGAGCAAAGATGCCAGGGGGGGCTCCTTGTTGGAGAAGCCCCAGAAAGTCACTGCCCCAAACCAGCCCCCTGCGTCTTCAAACACGGAGAAGAGGAATCATTCCGCCTTCTGGGGACCAGAGAGTCCGACCGACCCTGGGATGCCAGGTAAGGACTGGAGGCCGGTTCTCCCCAGAGAGCCTCATTTTCTATAATGACACTTGGCTCAAAATTAAAGTTATGTTTGAAGAGTGTTGAGAAAATATCTTAAAAGAAAGAAGACAGTTAAAATGAAGAATTTGGCCCAAAAGAAAAAAAACACCTAACATTTGAGCTATTTATAGCAAGGAACACCTGCTTAATACATCCCTACATTCCTACATCTCTGTATACGTACTCCAGAGATGCCAATACATTCATTTGTAAATAAGCTAGAGTTAGGAAGTTTTAACACCTATGTTACAGAAACTAATGCTCTAAGTGTTAAATGTTAGGTTATTTTGAGATGAAGCATCATAATCCCTATGTATTTACGTAAATCCTCTTCACCCCTCACTAGCGAACGTAAAGAAACTATGATGTCACATTGATATGGTTGCATGTGTAATTCAATGTTATGCCTCCAGTTTAACTAAATCTGTGTTTTTTTTAAAATAAGGCTAACAAGACTTTTTAAATACATTCACACTGCAGAAACATTACAGAATTCTATCATTTTAAATTTCCTTTTTACACATTCATATTTGCATGGTTGTATGACATACGGAACAGAAATACAGACGATCACATTTCTGTGTGCTTTTGAGAGTGTCTTCAATACTCAGACCTCACACATTCTACTGAAATAATCTCTCACTATTCTAATAACTTTTTAAAGACAATTTTTAATTCATTGCAGAAGATGCAAATAATTAAAAAGGAAAATGACTTAAAATACCGTCCTTTATTGATAATAACTTTTCATGTTTGGCATATTTCCTTCCAATCTTGTTTATCTGCTTTGTGGATTTTAAGTTTCCATACAAACGTGTCCACACAATCTTCCATGAGGGCTTTCCTCCCCGACAGCCGAGGTGCAGGCGCTTCCATGCTATTTGGTCTCTTCCTTGCTGGTGCTGCCCCCTACTGGTCAAATCCGTCACTCCATCCAGCCTGGGGATTCGTTTTACTCCATTTTCTCCATGTGGATGGTTAGTGTGAAGACAGACACCTGAGACGCAGTCGGGGAGACCAGGTGGTTCTGGCAGGAGGGAGGAAGAGTTGAGGGGAGAAGTGGGTTCTCGGAGGCCGGGACGGAGAACTCCTGCCCGTCGCTGTAGGAGGGGCTCACGTGAGATGAAGGATCAGCTGCAGGCAGCGTGGAGACCACGGGCCAGGTCTCCTTCATCAGGTTCTGGTCTCGGCTCTGCCTTTAGAACCTTGAGTAAGTCGCTTCCTGTCTCTGAATCTGTTTCCTCGTCAGTTCACAAGGATTTCACCAAATGACCTCCGAGGCCCGTCCAGCTCTGGAGTCTGTTTCAGGAAGGACAGTAGCCTCGCGCCCAGGCAGCTCTCCGTCAGCCAGTCTGTGCTGGATGTTGCTCAGAGATCCCGGGCTGGCTGCTGGGGAGGGAGGACTCAGCCTCAGATCCTTCTGAAAACAATGCTCCAGGCTGCCCCCACCAGCTCAGGGGAGTTTTCCCCCAGTTTGAAATGTATTTGCAATCTCTGCTTTTGTCCTTTTTGATAATAAGCCTTTGACATTGGCTGTGAAGGTGTAAGGAATGGAGTTTCACAGATGCAGAGAGGTTAGAGTCCACTAATTACTTATATATTGTTTTTTCCTAATTATTAAAGTAATGCATTACTGTAGAAAATCTGGAAATACAGAATAATGTAAAGAAGAAAATGAAAATCATCTAGCAAAACCCACCATTGACAGTTTGTTGCATTTTCTTCTGGTTACTTCTATTTGGACACATAAGTGCACACGTTTATTCACTATTAACAAAATGAGGATAATAGTATTTTTACAAAACTTTTATTTTTCTTGCTTATGAGCATTTTCATGCGTTACTAAACATCCGTCAAAAACACAAGGTTTGACAGTCCAGGGTGAAGAGAGTGGGAAGAGAAGATAGAACTTTTCACATGTCAGAAAGGGCCTCAGAGCACATGCTTTCTGTTTAGACAGCAGCCATGGCCCCATTCCCCTTGTTGTCCCTAAGACACCAGACTAGAATCCTCAGCCTCCAGTTTCATGTGAGTAGAAATTATGTTCTACCCAGCATAGCATAAATAGACTTAAAAATTCAGGACTAGAGCTGGCCCAGTGGCATAGTGGTCAAGTTCGTGCTCTCTGCTTTGACAGCCCAGGGTTCGCAGCTTCAAATCCCAGGCTCACTAAGCCATGCTGTGGTGGCATCCCGCATATAACATAGGGGAAAATTGGCACAGATGTCAGCTCAGTGACAGTCTTCCTCAAACAAAATGAGGAAGATTGGCAACAGATGTTAACTCAGGGCCAAAATTCCTCACCGAAAAGAAAAGCATAGTTTAAAAAAATGCACAATTACTCATGCCCCGTGCCTGAGGGTTGCAGGATCATCAGCTAGTGCAGTAACTGTGGACACGAGTTCAATGTCCTGCTGCCTCCTCCCCCACAGACCGGTTGGGAGGATAAATAAGACTTACCTCAGGGAAGACGTGCTAGGGAGATGCTAAGACTAATACTAATAATGTAGCACAGAAGGTCATGAGATGCAGTTTTTCACCTGTCACAGTGACAAAGGTGAAAACATACAATAATCAAAATTTATAAGAATACAGAGAAACCAGTTTCATGGGCTTTGGGGGGGATTGAAATTAGTACAATCTTCCAGAGGGCAATTTCTGAAGCCTTAAAACTGTGTAGCTTTGACCCAATTATCGTCTTCTTGGGAATGTGTCCCAAGCACGTTACTAAGGGTGAAATTAAGGATGTGCACAGATCTTTGGTCTCACCAGTGAGAGCCTGCTCGGTCTGCTCAGAGCCGTCGGCGGGGAGAGCACAGGCCGTGTGGTGCCGGGGTTTGCTCCAATGCAGCAGCACAATGCTGACTTGTTCCCGGACGTGGTTGCAGCTGGAGGGCCTGTTGTCTGTGTGGTCCAATCATCCATTAACAAGGCTGTCCCCTTGAATCTGACCCAGCCGGTGGGAAGAAATCTGCGCTCCAGCACTGCATGGTGCTGGAAAACTGGTGTCGTATCCGCGTTCACATGGAATCCGTGTTCTGGGAACCTGAGAATTCCCATCCAGCCCGCAGGTCAGCACCTTCTTTAAGGGTCTGGATGAAGCAGGGTCTCAGGAGAATGTGTGATTTCTGTATGGAGGGGGTTTCTGCCTGCACTTTCTCGGATTCCCCTGCTAACTACACCAGAGCCTGGCTGGTGAGCTTCTCTCTGCAGGTCACTAGGGTGAGCACCTGCTACCTTTGCGTTGTTATGGGAAGTATTTTATTCAGAGAGGACCTCCTTATAAAGGCTATTTAAAAGGGTTTTCCCACATGCCCCATATTTCATCTTTTCGTTGTGCTGGCCTGCCTCTTTTCTTATTCAGAAGCCATTGTGAGACTGTGAAACCTTTCTGGGAAGGCAGGTTGAATGTGCTGAGGCCTGATCAGCAGCACAGCTGAGTGGCCTGTTCAGCTCCAACATGGTGGCAACATCAACCGATCCTCAAATGGATGGAAGAGCCAATTAAGGGAAATTCACTCATCACAAATGAAGACAATCAGAGGGTTATTTCCATGACCTTATTTTGGGGGGAGTTGGTCCTCTCTCATTGACCTACTCCCTTCTCTGGTCAAAGTCATTTAATCAGCTGTGATCAGCACCTGCTTTAGCGCACCCCACTATCCTGGGCACTTGGAGAAACACGGGTCTTAGAAAAGGCACCCTCTACCTTCTCCAAGGTTTCAATCAAAACGTTTTGGTCACTGTACTGGGGATTACATAATTTTTATTATTTCAAATCTAGATGATTTATGCAGTAGATTCTGTTTTGTAACATCCGACCACTTGGTCAGTCTCAAGGAACAACTTGGTTTCAAACCAAATGACATGGCTCATTTTATCTGGAAGTGAGTTGAATAACTCCAGTGTTCTGATAGGATTAAAACATTACTCTCAGCCAAATACAAATATATTCATATTTTTCTTAGCCTGCCTTCACCAATGAACTTAGAACTCGTTTTAACTAATCTTAGACAAGTTGTAGAGGCTTTAGCAAGGCTGGCCGGTACAAATAATTGAAAATGAGCAAAGAAGGGCCGGCCCTGTGGCCAAGTGGTTAAGTTCACGCACTCTGCTTCAGCGGCCTAAGGTTTCGCCAGGTCAGATCTTGGGCACAGACCTAGCACCGCTCATCAAGCCTTTTCTGAGGCGGCATCCCACATAGCACAACCAGAAGCACCTACAACTAGAATATACAACTATCTACTGAGGGGCTTTGGGGAGAAGAAAAAAATAAAATAAAATAAATTAGAAGATTGGTAACAAATGTTGACTCAGCTGCCGATCTTTAAAAAAAGAAAAGAAAAGAAGCAAAGAGAATGTCAATAAGGAGTTTTGTGGCTGTACTGAGGCCTTAATAACATTCCCAGTGTGAGCAGACACGCAGGCCAAGTGCCCCTGGCTAGCTGAGGTCTTGTCCTCATATGATCCGGAACATTCCCTGAAGAGAGCTTCCTCTTATTCACTGCAGACATACAGTGTGGCCCACCAGTGAGTAGTGAGAAGGGATAATTCTGTTGTCTACAAGAGTTGGCTGGTGGTCACAGGAAGCCATAGAACATTCTGGAAGGTAGGCCCATAAGGTATCCACTTTCCCAGCTGGTATTTCCAACTTCCTTCCAGAGCATGTCTGCATGTTCTATGGTGACTGAAAATGAAATTAAAGCCACATCCGTCCACCTTCCAACTCCCTCTGTGTATGCGTAGCTATGTGTGGTAAACAGAACACAATATGTCATTCAGTGGAGGGAAAAATAATTCCCTAAGACATTAAACTCTTCTAAAAGGGTCATTGCCAAAATGAATTATCTGCAAGAGCAAATGATATAATCATCTTGTTACTGAACAGAAACACAGGTTCATTTACCTGCAACACAGTAGGGCCAATAAAGAAAAAAACTGAAACACCAGGCTTGTGGCAAGGAAAGAGGTTTACTATCGAAGGGCAGCTAGATGAGGAGATGGGAGTTAGAAGGGAAAATGGTAGGGACTTTTATCTGGGGTTTTAGGTATGGGAGGGAGAACATGTGCTGGGGTTTTAGATAGGGGACAGGGAGCAGGTGGCCGTGCTGGTTGACGTCTTCCCACCAGCCTGTGTTTGGCCTTGAAGACTGAATTTCTTTCCTCTTTTTTTTTTTTTTAAAGATTGGCACCTGAGACAACAACTGCTGCCAATCTTCTTTTTTTTCCCTGCTTTTTCTCCCCCAAATTCCCCCAGTACATAGTTGTACATTTTTTAGTTGTGAATCCCTCTAGTTGTGGTATGTGGGACACCACCTCACCGTGGCCTGCTAAGAGGTGCCATGTCCGTGTCCAGGATCCAAACCAGCAAAACCCTGGGCCGCTGTAGCGGAGTGAGTGAACTTAACCACTCGGCCACGGGGCTGGCCCCTGAATTTCTTTTCCCTTGCCTGCCTGGACTTTTCTGGTTAGTTTTTATCTTCAGCTTGTGTTTGCCTTGTGAGGCTGAATCTTGATGTCTGGACCTTGACTTCCTGGGAAAGATAGCTCCCTCTTATATAAGGAGGGACAGAAAGAACTGGGGAGTGTTTTGTTGGTTGGTTCGTTTTTTCTGCTTTTCCTCCCCATCCCCCCAGTACATAGTTGCATATTTTAGTTGTGGGTCTTTCTAGTTGTGGCATGTGGGACGCCGCCTCAGCGTGGCCTGACAAGCAGTGCCATGTCCACGCCCAGGATCCGAACCAGCGAAACCCTGGGCTGGAGCGTGCGAACTTAACCAGATGGGGGCCGGCCCCCAAGACCTGGTTAGTTTTAAACAACAGTTGATTATGCTGAATATGCGCAGCTGTGGTTAGCAAAGCTCATCTCCAATTGTTTGGCTGTAGGGAAGATTTTTTAACTTCTTTGTGCTCGGTTTCGGTCTTATTTTTGTTCTGACTCACTGCTCTAGTGAGAGCCTGTGATGGGATGTGTGGAAGTGAAGCATGTCTCTGTGGCATTCCATATGTAGGAGTCTAGGAAAAGTGAATCAGGCAGTCTGGGAAATGACAATGAAATCCTTCATGAAATGTGGAAAACAGAAATACACATTTCTCATGCCAAGAGGCAGGGCAAGTCCCCTAGGAAATTCTAGAGTCCAGGCCATTGTGTCTTAAGTCTCCTCTGCACATTGTCCTCTCCCCGAGACCTGACCTCTCCCCCTCCCATGTCACTGGCTTCCCCTCCCTAGGGACTGAGGGCATTTAGGAAAATACTCTTCAGATTCCACAACTGAAGATTCAGAGTGAACTTAGTTTGTTAAATGAACCCACCTCAAGGCAAGGTTGCCTTTCCAAGTACAATTAACCTATTCTCTACTGCATCCTTCATAGAGCTCTGTCCCAGACGTTCCTAAGGAAATGTTTAAATATGTGATTCTGCCTACATATATTAATTCGCCCAGATATGAGTAAATAGATATGTTCTCCACTGTGGTTCTAGAGCTGTGACTCTGAGAGCAGTGTGGTTCAGTAGAATGCCACCTGCTGCGGATCAGTCCTGGGTTGCAGTCCCGGCCCCAGCAGTTACCAGCTCCCAGGGGATGGACTTCTCTGAGCTGCATTTCCTCACCTGCCAGAGGATAATATCTTCTCACAGTGTTGCCACGAGGATGTGTGAAATCTTTTACGTAACTGTAACTTATGTCTCTCGGAAACTAGTAACACTATATGAATTTTTGCTAGAACATTCCAGTCCATTGGCATTCACTAGGAAACCAGGGTCAGAGAGCTACAAACCCACAAGACAGTTAATTCAAATGAAACATAGAAACCTGCAGCCGTGGTCCCAGCACTGAGTTCCTCTTCAGGATTAAGAGAAAAGTTCTCTTATCTTCATTGGAAAGAGACGGGGGGCAACAGTGAATGTGGTTATTTTATATTTTTCCACTGGATAAAAGACAAACCAGTTAGTCCTCTGGAAAGAATTGGAAGTTGGTAAATTTTGGTGTTTCGTTTTTATCCCTGGCTCGTTATTTTTAAAACTTAGGACATGAGTTCCCAGCCATGTTATCTTCCAAATTTGTTACTTGACAGAGCACTCACTGAGTGCCCATCACTGTTATAGCAACCTGATGATGTGTAGAAATCATTATCCCCATTTTGTAGATAATTGCATGAGCAAAGGGAATTGAGAATGAACATTCCGTAAGCCGGACACCCCCGCTGCCCAAAGGGAAGAGTGCTTGTTGGGTTAGAGGGCAATATGGGGGCCTTGAAGACCTGCCTGAGGAATCTTGGACAGGCTGAGTCACAAAGGAGAATAAGAGAATTTAGAGATGGCAATACCCAAAGCCAGTTGAAGAAGGATCAGTATCCATCCAGGATGAAGCTCTCATCTACTCGTGGCAACGTGAGAAAAGTGAGGACAATGTAGTGGGTTTTTTATGAGGCTAAATTTATTCCATTGAAAGACTTGTTCTTTTTATGTATTAAATCCTTCTTGATTTGGGGGTTTAGATATGTCCTTACTCTATATGAAGTGAAGGTGACAGCCTTAGTAAATGGCCACTTCTTTTAAAATCTTTGTTTGCCCAAAGTTGACAACTCTAAATTGGCCCCCAAAATGCTTTTGAATTTTTATTGGTCCACAAAATCCAAAGGTGTTGGAATCAGCATCCTGGAAAATCTCTGGCCTGTGGAGGAGAGCCCAGGTTCTCGATGGCCCCAGTGCTCCACCAGCCTCATCATTTGGATTCCATATTCCCTGTCCCTGTCCCACTGGACATGGTCTCCACAGCTCCAGGCAACAATCCCTTTCTTCCAGGGGCTCAGCAGCCCCCACGCCTGTCTGTCCTGCACAGTAATAGCTGTCACCGGGCCGTCTCTTTCCCCTTCGGCTCAGCGGTGGTCACTGTCTTCCTCCACAGTCTCACGCTGGCTGCTCTTCTTCCTTCCCCTCCCCTCACTGTCTGGATGGGAAGGGGCCTCCAGAAGGTGGGCAATAATAGAAATCAACCTGAAAGGCACATCTGATTCTCTAGCCTACAAAAAACTGCCTATGCCTTGCTCATCTCTCTCATTCTCCTCTGGCTCCATGTTTATGGAGGAGATCTCTATCATTGGCTATCGTCGGCCAGCACATTCAGATCCTTTTGGAGTAACACGATGAGGCAGAGAGAGTAACATGATGAGTAGAATGTAATTAGCCTGCTGCGGCCTTGGCTGAGAGAGGTAACCGTGGGCTGACCTCACTGCACGGATACGCTGAGAGAGTGTGGATAGCAACCTTTGCAGACACACTCCGGAGGAACGTCTGAAAGGAGAGACTGTGGGGGAGGTTCTTGCAGTGCCAGAGCCAAAGGTGACGCAGAACGGAACAGTGAGGATTCGCAGCCTAGCGTTCACTCAGACGTGCTGGTTTCCACCAATAAGAAGTGAGCCCCCCTGGGTTTGAATCCCAGCCCTGTGACCCACTCTCTACTTGATGACCCTGGGTGAGCCCTGAGCCTCTCTGAGCCCAGCCAGAAAAATGAAGCTACTGGGACCTGCCAGCAGGGTGAGGTGAGAAAGTGAAAGAGCAGGTCCCAGGGCCTTGTGGATGCTCAGTGCGTACTTTTTAAAGAAAACCTTTCTTGACTGTCCTGCTCTCCATGGTGTGAAGCCCAGAGACTCCCCTGGATTCTTCCTGCCGAGGTCTTGCTTCCCCCTCCGGGGTGCGGGGAGTTCTGGGATGGTGCGCTCGTTGCCCTCTCTCTGTCCAGCTGTTTTTCCTCACCACACACTCTGCTTTATTAAATTGGTCACATCTGTTGTCTAGTGTTTTAGTATCAAACATAGGCTGTGTTTATTGGAGAAATAAATCCTGTAAGTGCTTTCTCTAAGTCCATCCTAAAACAATAAATAAGGCTGTATTTTCATATCTGTTTCCTAAAGTTTTTGATGCACCTTCAACATATGTTCTATTTATATTCCACAGACAGTAGTTCCTCAGGGAAGAACAGAAAAAAGGAAAATTATATTTTTGAGTCAAGGAGTGATCGAGGAGGAGGGGAACACCCAGCCCCAGAAGCAGGTAAATGTGTGCCTTGGAGACTCATTGCAGAGGACCAAATAAACCCTCACGGGACCACAGAGCCTCTAGTTGAGGGTAGTAGATGAAGCTGCAGGAGCTCATGACAAGAGCAGTGACCTGTGGAGCAGAAGCACCACTGTGCTCTCATCTCCTAGTCATGTGCCATCTTTGGGCTCTTGAACTGGTAACCCCCGTCTGTGGACCTCAGCTTCTTCCTTTGTAATCCCTCTAGTCCCTTCCAGGTGTAACGTTCTAAGGAAAGAGTAATTCTTCTGGCCTAGTGGTTAGGAACACGGGCTCCAGAATCGGACGCCGAGATTCAAGTCCTTGCTCCACCACTGACCTCTGTGCCCTCGGGCATTATCTTCTCCCCGAGGATCTCAGTGTCCTCTTTAGGAAGATGGAGATAACAACCCATAGCTGCGTCACAGAGTTGTCAGGGAGAATAAACGGGACCATTAATACGAAGCATTTAGCACACTGCTTGGCTCATACAATGAGCCAAATAAATGATGGCTATTATGATCGACTGAGTCATGATACCACAGGAGTAAAGGTCTTGGACCACCCAGTTCTCTCCCCAAGTGCTCTAGTGACAGAGATGGAAGACAGCGGGAATGGGGAAGAGTGTGGGAGGTTGAAGGGATGTTTAGAAAGTGAAGAAGAATACCATAATTCCATAACTGTGGTTGTTTTTAACTAGAAAGAAAACACTTTTGACATAGTCCTGTAGAAAGGCAGGTTTTAGTCCTAAACCCCACAAACTAATTAGTAAAAGATTTAGGAGAACAAAGTTATACATCTAAAGATTGAGAAAACTTTCTTTTTACCCGAGAGTAGTTTTTGTAATATCTGGACCGTATTAAAGTAACATTTTACACAGTAGATGGCTAACCTAATGCAGATATGAAGAACCTGGAAGCTCCCAGTCTGCTGGCCTGCTGGACGTACCCTGTCCCAAGATACTTAAATAAAAAGAGCCCCACCCCCCATCGACATACAAAGGGAAACCAGGCCTGCCCCTTGCCCCATCAGCCAGTGCCCTTTCTAGTTATTTTCTAGTTGTTACTGTTTTGAATGTCACTCCCAGTCGTGTGGACAGAATACCCAATTCATCCCCTTGGCTGGTTTCTGAGAACATTATCATGATGTGTCTTAGAAGGGGTTGGAAAATTTTAAATCTCAAATTTCCCAAAATAAAAACATTGAAGAAACCATTCCAACTACATATTGAAAAAATCTAGAATAATTTTCAGTGTTCTAGCAAGGACTTTACGGGAGATCTCATTTTCCTTGTCATCAAGGCATTAAACAGGGATCAGATGGAGAGTTCAGCAACCTCCTATCTGACTTGGCAAATGGAAAATTCCCCTGGGTTTCATGTCTGCTTCATTGTGACCCCAGCTGAACCTGAGCCCCAGGCTCAGGACTGGGATCTTCAACACACTCCCTTCCCTGTAGCCTGAACACCGGTGCGCATCTTTACACGAGTCACCGACATGTAGAAGGGCAGCCTTGAACCATTGTCCTGCCCTGAGCAAGCAGAAGCAGGCTCTGCGTTGGGTTCCAGTTTGTAAGAAATGGTTTGGGGTTTCTGGGGTTTCAGAAAGGGATGGCCAAAGTCTCTTTTTTTGCCCCATTCCTTTGTAACGTATCCAACTTACATGGCTGGTACAGGAGGATGAGGCGGAACCGACACCTTCAGGGCCCTGAGCCCTTTCAGAGTTTCTTCCCTCAGGGTGGCCATTAGGAGACTCTGGTAGCTACTAAGGCCCCAAACTGTCAGCCTGGAGAAATTCAGCAGTGATTCCTGACCCCTCCAGAGGGGTTTCATGTGTGCGGAACGTCTGAGCCAGCTCTAGAATCAAGTTCTACACTGTTGGTTTATCACTGGTGTCTATGTTTCACAATTCTCTGTGGGAATACCAGCCTCACCCCAAACTTTGTTTGGTACCCAACAGTCATTAATACACTTTCCCGATCCCCTCCTCCTGTGCCCAGACACTTCCAGACTGTTCCTGAGAGTCTTGTTCAGGAACCTTGTTCAAGTCCAGACTTGAAGTCATTATAAAATGAGTTCCTTTGCCTTTTGGAGGAGTGCAGTACCATCGTGGTTCTGGAGCTGCACTGTCTGGGGCCATATCCCAGCTCCAGCGCTTACCATATGAACTGCCCTCCAGGCTTACATGAGTCACTTAACTCTTGATGCCTTAGTTCCTCCTTTGTAAAGCGGGGATGATGATAGTGCCAATTCCTATGGTGGTTGTGAGAATTACAGGATTTCAGCTGGAAAGCACTTGGAACAGTGCTAGCATCTTTAGCGTTAGCTTATTATCTTTGATTACTTTGAGTACTTACTTTGGTGTTGGACACATGGTTCTTAATGCAGAATGAATGAATAAATCAAAGAAAATGTTATAGAATCAACTTATGCAATGGAGAGTTTTGCTCCTCTGGTTCCACCACTTGGCAAGACCCCTGCAGCTAAAAATAGCTCCACCATCTCATCTCCAAGCCAGGCCTGACAAGGAGTAGACAGACTAAGAATAGAGCCTGCTGAGCTGATAAAAAAGACTCATCTGGAGCACCCCGTCCCTTCCCGACTCCTGCAGGCCTCCCAAGCTGGCCTCTAGTCTGGGGGTCTAGGACCAATCCCACAGGAAAAACCCTGTGAAGGATAACTAGAGATATTTTTCCCTGACTACCCTTAGTCAAAATTACACCAGCATATTTTGAAGTTAGTTTTCAACAATGGTGCTACTGGCTGAGAGTAGGTTCCCTGGATTTAGGAAAGGAAATAAATTTCTTAAAGCCCTAACAAGAACACGAAATCAGGAGTTAGTCCATAGTCATTTCATGAATCCATAAATGTAATCTGTGACTACAGCGGAAGAATATCCCATGGTCACAGTATCCTTGCAGTTTTCCATTTACAGAGTGTCTGTTACAGTTGGATATAAGGGTGAACCGACTGTTAACATTTGTACCCACTGACGCTATACAAATTTTGTAGGGACCTGGTAAAGAATCTGGTTTTAAAGCAGTCTCAGTCTGGGACCTAGACCTGCAATTTACAAGCTCTGTGCTCTTAGGCCAATTACTTTCCTTCTCTGCACCTCAGTTAATCTGCAAAATGGTGGCAATACAGGGGCCTACTTGAGCTGTTCAGATTAACCGTGCGTGCACACGCCATCACTTATCAACGGTGGTGTTACTGTTCCTCCTCACTGACCTGCCCTCCCTTCTCGCCTTCTCACAGGTGCAGTGCTCCCCCTGGCCCTGGGTCTGGCCATCACCGCTTCGCTGCTTCTCATGGTCGCCTGCCGACTCCGACTGGTGAAACAGAAACTTAAAAAAGCTCGTCCCATTACATCTGAGGAGTCTGACTACCTCATAAATGGGATGTATCTGTAATAAGCATAGTTATATAGCTGGGGCCAAGGACATGTTTCACTTATAATTTATACATATATTGGGTTCTGGATATTTACAACCTTTTTTGTTTCTAACTGGGCTAAGAAAACTGAAAACCCAGAAGATTCTGCAAATCCCAAACCTTTGTTTTTATTTATCCTAGAAAGATTTTCCTTGGGAAGTATGTGAAATATTTTGAAATTTAGAGAGGAGTCCATATGATTAAAGACTTTCTCAAAGCTAATTCTGATTTATGTAAGCTGTCACTGAAAATGGAAATTTGTAGTCAACCAAGGCAGAAAATTCAGTACCTCAAGCGATGGCCTTAGACTGGCAGTGCTGACCCTTTACTTTTTAGAAGCCCAGATGGGCCCCTGGCAACCCTGGACCACGTTATGCACAGCTTTCCCTGGTTCTGTGGGTCTCCTATTCCTCACTTTAAGCTTCCAATGCTCTCCTTTGTTTTCTCCCTTCAAAACCTGCTCTGAGAACAGACCTCAAATGAGTTTACACCCTCAGCGAGATGCTACCTATGGCTGGAATACCTGAATTATAAACCTTAGGAACAGGTCAGTGAGGTCGCAGGGCAAGTCAAAGGGGGTTCTTCCCAGGGCCTCTGACTACATGTCATGTAGGTGGCTGCCTCATTAGGCTGCCCTGTAGGAGAAAAAACCCAGACTTTGGGTCGCAAATAGCTCTAACATGGTCATGAAGTGAGAAGGAAATCAAAGTGGAAGCGGAGAACCTGGCAGGTCAAACATGTTAACAGAAACTCAGCTGAGGGCAAAGCGAGCAAGGAGGATGCTGAGTTCTTTCTCTTGTCTACTCGACACTGCCCGACGACCCAGAACACAGTAGCTCATTCATACAGTCCCTAGTTTGCAACATGAGTCTGTGTTGATGGAAAAGAAAAATGCATTCAAATTGAAAAACAGAAGAGTGAGTGGATTTCTGGGTATAGCTTTTGTGAAAAATGTCACGTTTAAGTATCAGCAGGTTCTTTTACCCAATGAATGAGCCAGTTTTCCCCATTATTTACTTAATGCTATAAAATGTCATAATGTGTAATCAGCGACTGCCACACTTACGTATTCCCAGAGCATAGGCAGTTTTGCACAAATTCACCTTTAGAGAAAACCGGCATCTAGCTTAGCATCTTTTCCCTTTTAATATGTAGGATTTTAAAGGCAAATTATTCCCATCACCACTTAATGCCGGGATTTAACACATTCTAGAAATTATTCTACTATGAGGAATGTATAGCGTGGTGCCTGTCTACATTCACATGATGTTCCTGTTTACATAATATGGTTTTTTTTTACCATAAGTGGCAAATCTTTTACAATACGTGAAAACACTCTAGAACCCTTTATTTTCAGACTGAAGCTGAGGTATGTTGTTCCTTTAGCAAAGGGTTTAGTTTGGGTCAGAGATACAATAGAATGCATTAACAAATGGAAAGTTAGTCTTAGAAAAACAAAGAAATTGGTTATTTTTATTTCCTGAGAAACCCAAGCATTTTGTTGGATGTTTAGAATTGAGCAAAGATTTCAATTTCTCCTCAAGGGCATTTGGAGAGACGACTGTGTGAATGAACTCACGATGTGTGCTCTGTGATGCCGGGCAGTTTGTTTTTTATAAAAGGATGTCCCCTACAGCCATACCCAATAAAATCAAAACTGATGAGGCATGCGTTTTTCAGCACATCTTTTATACGCGAGGAAAGTAAACACAAGCTAGTATTGCTAGAGTGTTGAAATACTTGAGGAAAGCTGTCCCATATCTATCTGTACAATATTCCTTTAATAAATTGTATTTTCTTCTTAAGCCTTTTTTGACAGCTTTTTAATATAATCCCACATTGCTAATATTTAGAGCCATTACTATATTGCATGGATTTAATCCTACCAAGCCTATTTTACAAAGGAGGAAAGTAAGGACTAGAGGAGAATCAAGGTCTGCAAAACAGTTCTATTGTCAGATGGATTGAATGGGACTTTTAAAAGGGAAAGTTGTCTACAATTTACCTCTCAAACATGTCCTTGTGTTTCACATCTCTTTTCCTGAGAAAAGGCCCACCTAAACCATCGTCCTGAATACTGAAAACTTTCTTCCTTTAATTCTCAGTACAAGTCCATCCTTCCACAAGCACTTTCATATTTCAAGTCACCTGAGTATTAGTATGTCCTCCTCCATAGGAAAATAATAGTTTTTTTTCCATCTTTCTCCCACTGACTTTTCCGACTCTGAGATTTGGCTCTGTGATTCCGTCACATTCACCAGCACCTCCTTTCAGTCACTGACGGCTGTTTATGTTGCTCTTTCCCATATTTTCCCATGACCTGGACACATAGATGCTTATTTCTACTTGTTCCTCAGCATTGCTGTTCAGGGCAGATCCTTTTGATGAGCTAACCGGATTCCACCTATGGAACCGTACTGCAGTGCGGTGTGCCCCAGAACACAGGTACTGTCCTCAGCTTCACGCCATACTGAGGAGGCCACGTAACATCAGCATCTGAGCCTGAGATGCTGGCATTTGGGGCCGTGTTCAATTCCACTGTCCCCAAACCATTTCATGTTCAGTTTGCTTCCTTTGGGGATTACGCCTCTTTGTTCCTATCACAGTTACTCCATTTGTTTTCTTTTCTGGACTCCAGGTTTTCTACAACTGTTGGCATTAAAACTGAATAGGACTTTCTCACAGAAAACTGCCCCAGCTGAATAGAAAGGGAAGAGCTTAGCTTGCAGTTTTGCTGTTCAGAAATGTTCTCCCTGGCTTTTTAAGCAGCTGTGTTGCTTTTTCTTAGGTACTGGCCCCATTTTCCCAGCTCTTTTGCCCTACTCGATTCTAGTATTCTAAAGATAGTGTACATTTCAAGTTATAGCTACTTTAATGGCAAACGCATACAGATTTTTTTGGCTAAATATGAAATCACCAAGGATGAAAATAAGGTGAGACACCCCAAGGCTGAATGTGCCCAGGAACCGACTGAAGGGCTGAAATGGAGCCTCCTCCATTTACTTTATTTAGGTCTAAGTATGTCTTCATTCCTACTTATTTTAATTCTCAGATCACATCAGTTTTTAATCTTGCAGAATTGGAAAGAGATCAACTTATAATATCATTCAGCCTAAAGATCTTTTTATGAAGTTACTTCAAAACTTAGGAAACTCCTCAAAACAAATTTTATTTTAATTTTTACCAAAAAGATTAGGGAAATTTATGTTGAGTGTATAGACTTTAAAAAAAAGTTCTCTTTCATTTTCATATATCATCATTTCACATGACTGAAGACCCAAAAATCTGAATAAATCACAAGGCAGTGTTCTTATATTTAAAACAAGGCAGTTTCACAGATGAAAACAGAGACTCAGATGAATCTCTAAATATATTATCTGGAGCTTTGTATATAGAGGAATAAAGAAATCAGAACTGTGAACTATGAATCTAAGACCATGCCTTCCATTTTTTGCCAGTGAGGGGGACAGTCTGACATTCCCTGACAACACCCCTACCCATACCTTCCTGTCCTGCTTTATCTGTTGCCTACAACCTATTCGCTCAATGGAGCCAACATCCTAAAGAAGGGCAGGTCTTTTTCCCTGAAAATATCCTTTTTGCAACTGATTTAAAACTGATACAATAGTGTTAAAATGGAAATTCTGCAGGCTCTTTGATCCATAGTGTAATTTCTAGGCAAAACCCTGACGGGATCATCACCAAAAAAACAGATAAACAAATAGTGATGGCAAAAGAAATTACTCCATGTAGAGCGATCCTTCAGGGGGCACAGTGAAGTGATCAGGGCTGGAAATTCAAATACAAACGTCCTCAGCTGCCACAGGCCCCTGGATTGCTACTCTCACATATTTTAAATGTCCTCAGTATTGCCATCACCTGTCCTGTGGACAAAAACATTCTTTCTGTGATGGCCATCCTCTTGGGACAGTCCACCTGAGCATGAGTTCTTCGGACTCGGCAGCCCCTAGAACTTCCCCTTGTTAGGAAAGGAAGTGAAGGGAAAGAGAGAGAGGACGGGAGGGAGGGAGGGAGTCACCAGCCCAGTACAGCATCCTAGGGGAACCAAAGTCAAGAGTCCTGGCCCAAACAATACAAAGTCAGCTAAAAAGACGCAGCCTAAAGTGGGGAACCAAAATTACTGTTGTAGCAATGATATTAGAAAGATTAAGGACAAGGAAATGATCAGACTTGTTTTCCTTATTATTATATTATAATACACAAACACGAACGTCCTTGGCCCCAGAGGCAGCCAGTTTTCTTTAAGCAGGATTTTTTACTGGCATTGTATTTGAGCCACACTTTAAGTATGATGGGGACAAAAAATTGTCATCCTCCTGAAAAAGGGTAGGAGAAATCAGGAGAGATAAAACTGAAATCTGATCAGAACTCATTTGTTTTACTGAGTATAGTTCTTTAAGAACACAATAAGCTGTGGGAAATGATGATTTATATCCTGCAAGAATTTTAGCACTTACCTAAAATAAGTTATTGGCCTTGAGAACTCCATTTAGGACATTTTTTGAATTACCCATGTTAGTTACTTCATTTACAACCCTAGTATTGAATTACCACAGTCATATGAGTTCTTTAGTGCCATACCAAACTACTGGAAAATTTGTTAACATTTAGCTGAAAACCAGAAACACCCATCTCTATAATGAAACAAAATTGAGGAGCTTTAATCCTTGGCTGACAATCAGATGCCGAAAATAGCTTTGAAGAATTCATGAGTATTACGTTACTACTAAAAAATGTTATACTATTTTACATGAATTTTTAAGATGCCTTAGTATAGGTACCTTATAGTCAATTTAAAACGTGTAATCGACTTTTTCTGAAAAAAGCAGTGTCTGTAAAAGGGTAAGGGATTTTAAATATTTTTCCAATGTTAATGTATTATTTGCCCCCAAATGTCATTTTTTTCAAATGTTACTGGTTGAGAAAGAGTTGAAACTTTCATTAGAAACTGGAATTATTTTCAACTTTTGAGAGCTAGATTTGGCTTTAATAAAATCAAATCTGTAAAAAAAAAAAAAAAAAACCCACCTTGTTTCAATGAGATCTCACTAGACTGGAATTTTTTAAAATATTTTCATTATTGTCCTTCATATTATATAAAGGAATCACTTCTATTAAGGAAAAGTGAAACAGTAAAATATTTTAGAAATTATGAATACTAAAGATTAATGAGACATTTCTTATCTCTGACCAACACATACTTTCAACTCTCAAAGAGAAAAGCTCTTAGACCTAGTAGAAATTATTTCCATCTCTATCCACTTACTGATGCTCCCTTAAACTCCATTCCTGTTTATTCAACAGTTAAGTTTTTTGTTTTTTTTAAGATTTTATTTTTTCCTTTTTCTCCCCAAAGCCCCCAGTACATAGTTGTATATTCTTCGTTGTGGGTCCTTCTAGTTGTGGCATGTGGGATGCTGCCTCAGCGTGGTTTGATGAGCAGTGCCATGTCCGCGCCCAGGATTCGAACCAACAAAACACTGGGCCGCCTGCAGCGGAGCACGCAAACTTAACCACTCGGCCACGGGGCCAGCCCCCAACAGTTAAGTATTTTAATTCACAAAAGTGTAAAGGCCTAGAGCAGCACTTGGCCCAGCACTTGACTGCACCGAGCAGGTGGCACTTAGTCTGTCCCATCAGATTTATAAACTGTCCCCGCGACCAGTCTGCACACTCCTGGAGCGGAGGAGCCTTCTTCCATCCCCAAGACAGAACAAAGGGATTTACATATAATAAAATGTTGGTGACAGCTATGAAGGATACAGACTAGTGGAGAAGTTTAAGAATTAATTTAAAGTCTTAAAGAATACCTGACCTTTGAAACTACTTCAAACGACACTGAGTCCTGGACCAAAAGGGTTCATGGCCTGGGTCCAGAAGGAGTACCACAAGAGCAAGCTGAAGCTGGCAATGAACTTAAACTCACAGCTTTTGGCTAGCAACAAATGCTAGCTTCCTGTGTCTAAGACCTTGCCCAAGAAGAGACAGTAGTGAAAAGATGTATGCATCATTTTTAAGCCATTTTTAAAGTAGTCACGTTTCACACTTGAAGAGGTGGGGAGAGGGCCTAAACCCTCACTGAGGATCTCCGTGTCGGAAGCACACGCATCTGCAGACAGCAGAGGAAAGGGCTTCTATTTCAAGTTCTAGCGTCCTTAAACAAACTAAGATCCTATTATAAAAGGCATAAAACTACAACATTTAAACTGATCCCAAAGTGCTACTGCCTTCTTAGAAACTCATTTTACAATCATTATATTAATAAATCTATTTATAGGTGAGAGATGGGTTTTGGTAAATTTATGCGCAAGCCTGTCCTTCCCTGACGTTAAGTCAATTCATTCACTCACTCATTCAGCATTTACAGTATGTCTACAAGAGGACAAGCCCTATGTTAGGCAAAGAAAAATGATAAATGAGGTGTAGTTCTTGTCCTCAAGAAACGCAGTCACATTCTGCAAACGTACACTTGGATTAACGCTGTTGACCTACTAAGAGTTCATGTAGCCGAGCAAGAGAGACACAGCTTCTCCTCTGCGATCGCAGCCGTCGGGTCTGGCGGACACGCAGTTCTTCTTCTACATCAAACACGCTGAAGCCTCTGTACTTTCAACTTTATTTGGCAAAGCAGCACTGCATAAACTGTTCAGTAGCTAGGACACAGCTTACACAGCAGGGTAAATTCATGTACATTATCAGCAGCAAATCAGAAAGAGAAAAACAACACTGAGCTACGGGTCTCCTATAATTTTTAAAGAGAGAAAGAAGAACTATGTCAATTATGTCCAATCTGAACAGCTGAGTGTTTTAAGAGACATCGCTGGCCATCTTCCTAAGTTTTAATATTTACAAACGCTTAGTTGTAAGGTAACGAAGCAGCTGATTGTATCTACAACATGCTACTCTATGACACCACATCAAAAGCTTTAAAAAAGGAAGCTCATCTCTATTTTCTTAGTAGCATCTAACAGACGTCCAAAAACCAAGAATCCAAACTTGTGAATGGTGGTGTTATCTGATGCACGAAAGCGATCTGATAAATTCATATTGGAACAGAATTAAGTGTCTAAGAAAAGAAAAACCACTCCTCAAAATCAATTCACAAACTAAGTTGTCCATTTTGCAGAAGCCCTTTTTTTAATATTTTAAAGTAAAACGCAGGCGTGTTAAAGTAATAATACACGGACTTATCCTTTGCATCCCTCCTCTACCAATTTGGCTTCTGTGCCTCTTTGAAGAATTAGAAACCCTACAAAACCACACATTTTCATGCTGAAAATAATAGTGTAACAAAGTCGAAAACAAGCTGTGATGTTGTTGGTTTTCAAAAAGCTCTGAGGACTGAGATGAGCAATCCACTGTAATATTATATACTGGTCAAGCTGATGTTGCTTTTACAGTTCGTCCCTGAGGGGAAAAAAGAGAGAAATATGTAAGTAGGAGTTATATACTGCAAAACTTGGCTTTCTAATAGTTTAGGCACACTATTAAATCAGTAAAAATACACCAAGCAATATATTATTTTTTAAAAAAAGAACAAACAAAGCAAAAATGGAAGTCAGCCATTCAAGCGTCTCTCATGCTACTCCAGAATGAAGTATGGAACCTAAAGGGCTGGAATTCTTTGTTTTTTAATTCTAACGAGAACATTCTTCAAGACCAAAAAATTAAGAGAAGTTATAACTTTTAGACCTAGGATCTTGCTAATACTATTTATTTTAAAATGATGACTTGAGTATTTAGAGTTCAAATAATTTTTTATAGTTGCATTCACAAAACTGGACAAAAATTTAGTCTTTTGCTTAGAGTATCTGTTAGCAATTGTTGAGTGGGTCAATCTCAACCCAAACTCTTTGGGAGAAAAAAGCATCATCTGTAGATATAATATACCTGGTCAGCTGATTTCATAAGGCAGCTTTATCAGCTCCAAAAGAAACCATTCGCTCAGCCAGGTGCAGCACTGTACCAGCCACTGCCAGTGAGAGGAAGGAAGGAGTAAAAACGCAGTCTAAAATAAGTTGTATGATATACAAATCATACCTCAATAAAGCTGTTAAAGTGAAAAAATAAAGCCACCAGAAAAGCCTAAAAGCTTCATATTTGAGGGGAATCTGAGTGGCAAAAATATTAAATACTCAAGTACTTTAGTGGTAAAGAAGTGTGACGTTTGCAACTAAATCTCAAATGATTCAAGAAAAAATATTACATATATAGAGGGAGAGAGAGAAAGAGGGAGTGAGAAAGCAAATGTGGAAAAATATCAATAACTTGTAATTCTGGGTGAAGAGATTCAAGAGTTCTTTGTACTATTCTTGCAATTTGCTTATAATAAAAATTAAGATAAAAAATTTTTTTAAGTTGTTAAAATAAATTTGAAGGGAAGGTAAATAAAGAGCTAAAATTTTCC